GTTTGAGCACCGAAGGTTCACAATTGCTTCTTGCATCACCTTCGGCACTCAGTGGGATTGGACAGTTTTTTTTTCGAATTTTGATTTATTTCTTAATGAAAATTATTATTTTTTTTCTTTTGGATTAGGGAACTGTTCAATTTAGGATCTGTCCGATCCTTCCCACCTGTCTGCTGCCTACCTGTTCTTTCCCCTCCAGTCCGAATACTGGGCCAGTCTATCCGATTGGCCCATAGGTGACTCTTCAGAGCAGTGCATGCCATGACTCACTCGATCACAGACCAAGACCATGGACCCGGAGGAGGGAGAATCCCTCCTGGCCTATGAGGAACCCCTGGCTGCTTTCATCCAGGAGGCCAATGACAGGGCTGCCGCCGCGGCCAAGCGTGGTCGGATTGAGCAAGAAGAGGAGGCCAAGGGACAGAAGGAAGAACAGGACCGACTTCGTCAAGAGGAGGCAGACCTGCAGGCGACAGCCGAACACCGGTCACGCCAGCGGGAACGACTGTTCACGCGGGAGACCGTGATCGGCGATGAGGCCGCACATTGGGTGGAAGTGGCATCTGCAGACGAGGCCCCGGAGACTGAGAAAGGGCTGTCTCCCACGATCTCGTGGCCACCTGCGCTCTGCAGCAGGAGGAAATCCTTCACCTGCAGCAGACAGTGGACCAGATGCTCGCACGGCTGCAGGCATTGGAAAAACAGCCAGCTGCTGTAGCAGCCGCAGGGCCTTCCAACCTTGCCACCCGTGTTCAAGTTTTGGAGGACGACGTCAGCAATATCAAGCGTGTGCATCAGGACTTCAGGACGTCGCAGCAAGCAACGAACTTGCAGTTGGAGACGCAGGTCCAGGCTGCTGCCACCGTGACACCCGCCGCCGCATCCTCCAGGCGACCACCCAAACTGGATGACATTCCAGTTTTCTGTGATCAGTCCAAGACGGAACTGATTCCGTGGTGGCGCCAGTTTACTCTCAGGCTTGACATGCACCATGTCCCGAACAACGACCGACATCCGTGCTTGTACCACCGATCTGGT